CACAGGTAAACATCTTTCTGGTATTATCTGATTCAGCCAAGGTACATCTGACATCAGCAATGTTATCCCCCTTTCCATGTCCTCCTCTGAATCCAGCTTGAACCTCTGGAAGTTCTCTATCAATGTATGGTTGCAACTGTTTCTGTATTACCTTTAGTAAAACTTTACTCACATGGATGTAAAAGATATTGTCCAATAATTTCCACATTCTGTTTGGTAACCTCTCTTTGGAATGGTCATAAATACAGATCTCTTCCAATCAGTTGTCCAGATAGCTGACTTCCAAATTTCTTGGCATAGATGAATGAGTGCCTCCAGTGCCGCCTTACTTTGTTGAAAACTTTCAACTTTTATTCCACCAAGTCACAGTGCCTTGTTCTTTGCCAATTTCTTCAATGCACCTTGGACTTCTTCGTTCAGTAACATTGGTTCTTGATCATATGCTACCTCTTGAAACAGTTGAACATCGACCATTTCCTTTTGGTATAGTGACTCTGTGTATTCCTTCCATCTTCTTTTGATGCCTTTTTCATCATTCAATAATTTGCCCAGAGAATCCTTCAATAATAAAAGATGAGGCTTGAATTTTTTCTTCAGTTACCCCAGCTTGAGAAATGCTGAGCATATTCTTCCATTTTGGTTTTCTAAACTCCAAATCTTTACACATTCTGTTGTAATATTTGACTTTGTCTTTTCAAGCTAACCTTTGAAATTTTCTGTTCAGCTCTTGCACCTCCTCATTTCTTCCATTTGCTTTAGGATCCCTATGTTGACGAGCAAGTTTCAGAGTCTCTTCTGTTATCCATTTTTGTGTTTTCCTTCTTTCTTGTCTTCTTAATGACTTTGTGCTTTCTTCTTGTATGATGTTTTTGATGCCATCGCACAACTCTTCTGGTCTTCGGTCTTCAGTGTTTAATGTATCAAATCTGTTCTTCAGATGATCTCTAAATTCAGGTGGGGTATATTCAAGGTCTTATTTTGTCAAGGTCATATTGTGGCTCTCGTGGATTTGTTTTCATTTTCTTCACCTTCAATCTGAGTTTGCATATGAGCAATTGATTGGTCTGTTCTACAATCTGCCCCTGGCCTTGTTTGGGCTGATGATATGGAGCTTTTCCATTGTCTGTTTCCACAGAAGTGGTCAATTTGATTTCTATGTATTCCATCTGGTGAGATCTATGTGTTTAGTCATCTCTTATGCTGTTTAAAAATGGTATTCAAAATGAACAAATCATTGATTTTGCAGAATTCTGTCATGTGATCGACACCATCATTTCTATCACCAAGGCCATATTTTCCAACTACTGATCCTTCCTCTTTGTTTCCAACCGTTGCATTCAATCACCAGTGATTATCAATATATCTTGATTGCATGTTTGATCAATTTCAGGTTGAAGAAGCTTGTTCAATTCTTCTATTTCATCCTCACTGGCTTTAGTGGTTGGTGTGTTAAGAGAAAGCATTAAGTTTGGTGAAATGGCCATATAGTCAAAAATCAAACAATTAATTTGATAAATTTTATGAAAGCATTTGTTAAAGTTTTTCAGAACAGAAGCAAAAATAATACCTGTAACAATGAATTTTGCATTGCAATAAAAAATTTTGTAATGATAGTACCCTACACTTTGAATAATCTTCTGTAGGCCCAGCTATCTCAACAAATATGTGTGTATTTTCTCAATTTAAAATGCTATGTTTCACAGAAAGTAATCAAATTTTCAAATTAATAACCCAAAACATAACTTTGATTATTCAGTGGGAAAAGAACAACACTGCTCAGAAATACACCAATGACACAGAAAGTGAATATATATCAAGAAATAATACTTTCTTTTTTAAAAAAGGTCTATTCAGTTAATTACATAATCAAGTTAATTTTTTTTCTTTAATAAAGATACATCTATCTTATTTTTACTTTTTAGAAATGGTTTTATTTTTAAATTAAACTTTTTTTAAAGTTTATAAGTCAGGAAATAAAGTCACTGTGAGAGTCAGCAAGTACATATTTCAAAATTCTGCAATTTAGTGACTCTTAAGTATGGAAGTGAGACAGATTTAATTTCTGTTCTCTAGAAAGGAAGTATAATATGTAAGAAGCACAAAGGGTAAAATTTGTAAAAACAAAAAACCCATTTTACCTTTTAATTTCTTCTCTTTCTACAGAATTCTTAGTATCTCTGAAATATGACTTGTGGATAAGTTTTCAGTATTTAGCAATTCTCTTTTAAGCCCCTTGGTGTTATGCCAAAGAGACAGGGTCTCATGGGAATTCATCTGAATTCTCATCCAAATGAACACCTGCTGTCATTGTTGCTTCTCAATCCTGCAGTCAGTAATGCCAGCTCAGTCTTTGTGGCCCAGCCCAGTTAGCCCAATAGGAAGCCATTTCAGTGTTCTCACTAGTTTTTCTTTTTACCCATTCTTTACTGCACAACACACTGCTCAGGTCTCTTGAAAGTCCAGTTAATAATAAGTTTATCTCTGGCTATTTGGTATTTTATGTTTCTTATTAGTAAAAGTTCAGTCTATTTGAATGTCGGCATTTTTGTTTTAGTTTCTTTCTCCTCTCTTCTCCTCCTGCCTCTTCTGTCCTGTGTTCTCTCTCTCTGCCCTGTTTATGTTGCTTCAGAAAGTAAGACGTTTGTTTTTGCAACAATACAGACTTGAAAAACAAGTTAGATTACATAAAGTATATTTTTATTCTCAGCTATATAAGTTAGCAAAAACAAATAATTAAAGTAGATATTAATTCAATAATTTATTTTCTGTGGAATGATGCATATTAATTATTCATTCCTAGTGCTTAATATGCAGGGTCACTATGAGTCGGAACCGACTCCACAGTACTTACCAACAACAAGTGCTTAATTGATATTCCTGTGTTTTTGTTTAACTTGTCTCCTTCATGTGTCCATTTTATTATAAACTATATCAACTGTTTTGAAGCAATTAGGAACAAAGATGAAATACATGATTTAAAAAATTAATTAATGATCATACTGTATAATATACCAGAAATAACATAATATTCAGATTCTTTTCTATAACCATATACTACAGTAGAGCAGCTTCATATTTTAAAATAGAATGCATTTACTAAAAAAAAAAAATACTGTTTATATATATATATACATATAACAATATATAGATAACTAATAACTATGTAACTATATATATATTGTTATAGGAGTATATACCTCATCACCATCCTGGTTTACTTTTGTGATTGTTACATGTCATTGAGTTCATTTCTACTCATACTGACTCCATGTGACAGAGTAGAACTTTTTAATATTGTGTTCTAGGATTAATATTATGGAGGAAGATTGCAAAGTCTTTCTCCAGATCAGTGAGAATGAGAAAAAAAAAGCAACTGTGATTGGATTTGAAAACTACTAGACCAGTAAACCTGAACCATTTTGATTTTCCAACTTTTTAGCCAGTCAGGAAGAAACCCTGGTGGTGCACTAGTTAAGTATTTGACTGCTAATCAAATGGTTGGCACTTTAACTCCACCCAGAAGCTTATCTGGAGAAGGACCTTGCAATCTGCCCCCATAATGTTATAGCCTAGAACACAGTATTAAATAGTCCTGCTGTGTCTCATGGAGTCAGTATGAGTAAAAATGAACTCAATGGCATCTAACAACAACAAAAGGTGATAAGGTATATTCTTGTATAACAACAATATATTTTAAGGAAAAGAAACCATAGAGTATTTTTTAGTAACTTTTGTTACAAGTTTTGTTTCTATGCACATTTCTCTATACTTTTGTGTATTCTGTTTTCATCATGGATCCATAATTGTGCAACAGCTTTTAGTGTGTAAAATGTTTGTATAGAAAAAATAAATTCAGTTAGTTTCATCCTGCAGGGAAAAACAACTCTGTCTGCCATCTGCAGTGGGCATTGGTCCCTCACTTGTTGTTCCATGCTTTGCTATGCATGAGTAAGCACATTAGCCTTTTCATTTCATTCATTAGACTTTTAGTCCTTGATTAGTGTTTTGGAGATTTTCTCAAATACACAACTTCTTTATTTCCTTTGTGTGTGTCTTTGCTTTTTTATTTTTCTCTCAATTATGAAACAAAATTAACAGTTAATCTCAACAATAGCCCTTTCCTATTGAAATAACTGGTAAATATATTAGTTTCCCATTTAAGTAATTAATCATCTGTGGATGAACAATGGGAAAATAGCTTCTCTGCTGGAATAAAGAGACAACTGTTTAAAGTCAGCTAGAACACACTGTGCTTGAAAAGCTTGGAATCTTAAAATCCTACCAACCTTACACATTTATTGGGATTTCACAAGTGTCCTGGAAATTCTGAGGGGATCTTGAAGTTAAATCTTCCACTAGGGTTTGGAACAATTGGGATATCTGAGTCTACTTAAACTTGTCTTCCATTCTTCCATTAAATGAGAAAGATATTTAAGGAATCTGCTTTTTATGAACAGTTATTAATGACATATTCAAGGCACATTTAACAAACTGGGAAGTTATATATTGCACTTATCTATATTATAGATGCACCTTCAGATTCATTTTTTTACTCATAATTAATTTCAAAGGCCTAGCATCTTCTCCACCTCATCTTTTCCTAAATTAAGCAATTCTTCCAACACTTGTTTAAAATATTTTCAGTGATTTTCTGACATTTATGTTCATATTCACTATCTTAATTATATTTTGAGCATGAGGCCAAAATCAGTTATTAAAGAAGATATAGAAATTAAGCAGAAATCAATTCCTAGCTGGCATAGGGTAAGTATCAATGGTAAAATGACTGAGTGTATCATTAAATGCTTGGGCAGAATTTACTTAGATTACATAATTTTTACCTAATTGCAGCACATCTTTGCAATGCTCTATTAAGTAAAAATTAATATAAAAATATAATTCATCACTTTTTCTCTTTTAAACCATAATTTCCACAAGATACAAGAATCTTAAGCTTTCCTATTGTAAAATTTTATTTTGCTCTCTTGTTCTCCCCTTAGGATGCCTCCATTGCACACAGATTCCACATCATGAGAGAAAAACATCCAGAGAAGTTCAACAGTAGGTAAGGTACCAAATGATGGCATTCTGATTATAGTTGCTACTACAAATTATGTCATGAAAATTATCACTATGCAATACAAAATATTTTACTTATAAATTACCAAGTGAAACTTTATGTTTGTATAAATATTAAGAAGCAGGTATGAGTGAATGTCATTTTTCCTCTTAGACTGCAATGGGGCAATGATAAGAAATGAATGTGATCAGCCCTACTCTGTTTTTTTATGCTAAAAATAAAGATATCAAGTGCTCTTGTTGTTAAATGTTGTCTAGTCAGTTCCAACTCAGTGACCCTTTATAGGGTTTCTGAGGCTATAAATCTTTGCAGGAGCACAAAGTCTCTTCTGTCTCTGGTGGAGCAGCTAGTTGGCTTGAACTGCCTACCTTGTGGTTCTGATAGTACAATGCTTATCATACAGAACCACCGTGTTTTCATAAAGATATCAAGTATAAGATGAAAATACTATTTTCCCAATACTTACTAGAAATCTTTACATATAAGTATGTGAACGATAATCACCATTAATCCCTAGGAAAAATAAGGAGCTCTGATTTGATAATGCTGGGTAACTATATATTGCATGGGTATTATATAAGGATATCATCTAATGTGTGAAATATCCATTCCATATAGGACTTTACAGAGCGAAAAGTTACACCAGAAAAAATGTCAAATCCAACATTAATTATTTTAGAAGACATTTCTTTCAAAGGGAAAAGACTTTGCAATGAAAATAAATGTTTCCATTATAGCAATATGGAAACATTTATCGCTTCAAATATAAGTAAGCAGGTATTGGCCCATTCAGTTATTCAGACAAACAAGAAAAGAAGTGAAAAAGAGAAGTCTTGGCTCTATAACTTTCCTATTTCTAGAAGAAAATAAATTTATCTCCTTTCCCCAGCTCCCAGAAAATTGAAGCAGAACAAGTGGTTCTTCTTTTACTTCAATTATATTTACTCCTACTCTGTTAATTTCATGAAAACATAAAACCACAATCAGTATTTTTATATATAAGTTAAAGTGACTGTATCTATTTATGTTCAAAACCAGAGACTCTGTGGTCTCTGCAGTTCCCATGGAAGCCTTAGAACACTTGCTACACCTCTGCCTCTAAAAAGTCTTGCTTATTTCAATTTTGTCATACAATTAATCCCCTGTCATATATTAGCAAATCAAGTGAATATTTATTTCATTAGAAATACCTCTGGCTGTTCTTGACTTATTTCTCATTCTATAAATAATATATCTTGACCTTCTAATTTTGTTTTGCTCCCATAGTTCAGAAAGCTGCCACTTTCGTTTTTAAAAACTATAAAGTACATATATTAATACTTACATGTGCATATCATATCTTTAGAAAGTTTCACAAAAAATTTGTAATTCTTGTCACTTCTGAGGAAGGAAACTAGTGAAGAATGAACCTGCAGTATATACTCACTCATACTGTTTACTTATTTTTGTCATTGTCATGCTTTATACAAACAAAAAGAGCATTATAATAAAATTTTATGGGTTTTTTGTTTGTTTGTTTTTAGGTAGTCCCTATCTTACCACTTGTTTTAGTTAGCATGAACTACACTTACTACCATCATTGTTTTGTGTGTTTTGATTATTTTCAGTAATACATAATATATACTATATTACAAAGTATGGTTAAAAAATACAACCTACTGCACACCTTTTCTGATTTTAAACCACTCAGTATACCTCCTTGTTTTGTTAAATGACTGCCTCTCAGTCTTTGGATGGCCTCTTGGTCTATGCACAGTAAGCCATGTGATTGTCAAATTCAAAGTGGCCAAATTCAGTCCATCTCAGCTCTCTAATGTCTAGGATTAGTCTTGCTGCAGCGCTGTGGGTTAATACACTGGACTGCAAAATTGGTTTGAACCGCAGGGTCAGTGGTTCAGGCTTACCAGCTGCTCCTCAGAAACCCTATGCAGGGTTGCTATGGGTCGGAACCCACTCAACAACATTCAACAGCAGCAGCTGTAATGTCTAGGATATCAATCTTTATGCATTCCATTTCATTTTTGACAGCTCTTAATTTTCCTAAATTTGTATTTCTTACATTCTTTGTTCCAGTTATTAATGGGTGTTTACAGCTGTTTCTCCTAATTTTAAGTTGTGCCCTATCAGCAAATGAAGGTCCCAAAGCTTTACTCTATTCGTGTCATCTCCAACTCTACTTTCAGGAGGCAGCTCTTCCCTAGTTGTATTTTGAATGCTTTCTAAGAGGGGCTCACGTTCCTATATCTTACAATGTTCCACTGCTTTTCATAAGGTTTTCATTAGCTAAACATTCAGAAGTACTCTGCCTCTGCCCCTTCCTAGTCTTTCTTAGTCTGGAAGCTCAAGTGAAACCTGTTTACCAGGAGTGATCCTGCTGGTATTTAAAATACCAATGACATAGGTTCCAGCCTCACAGCAACATGCAGACTGCCACAGTACAGCAGATTGACAGATGAAAGGGATTCTGATTCATAGCTATCCTGCATAGAGTTTCCAAGGAGTGGCTGGTGGCTTTTATCCACTGACCTTATGGTTAGCAGTTATTTGCTTATCTTACAGCATCACAGCAGGGCTCCAATACAATAGCACTACTAGTCTATGAGTTTTTCATTGTCCATTGTGTGCCTTTTACAATGGTGTTTGTAAACGCCATAGTTTTAATACATTATAAAAGTATGTCTTATTGAAACTTCTTTGCAAATATTTTTCGTATGTTTCAGACATTAGTAAATATTATTTAAAATAGGATAAAATAACAATAGGATACACAATGTCTTCTGAGACAAGGTCTTCAATTTCTACTGTGAGTTCAAAGGGTATTGTAAATGTTCAGTGTTATGTTGATTAACTATTTTTTTTTAAATAGCAATTAACCCTAAAATACCACATTTGTCTAAGCTAGTTAAGCATTGTCTTAGTTAGCTAGCACTGCTGTAACTGAAATACTAAAATTCAGTATCTTTAGCGAACTGAAATTTATAATCTCATAGTTTAGAAGGTTAAAAGTTCAAATTCAGTGTGCCATCTCCAGGGAAAGACTTTCTCTGTTGATTCTGGAGGAAGGCGGTCTCTTCAACTTCTGCCTTCTGGTTCCCTGGAAATCTCCATGTGTCTTGGCTTTGATCACATCCCATCTCTGCTGCTAGCTTCCAATCAATCTCTTCTAGTGTGACACTGTAGGAAAGCGCTTCACTGCTAACCCTAAGGTCAGTAGTTCAAACCCATCACCTTTTCCTTGGAAACTGTCTACAGGAGCACTATGAGTCAGAACTGACTCAACAGGATCTAACAACAACAACAACATACTTCCAAAAACATTGATTTAAAATATAATCTGCACTAATCCTGGCTAATTTAACAAAAATAATCCATTCCATAGGCACAGCGGTTAGGATTTTTGACACATAGTTTTGAGAACACAATTCATCAATAACATCCCATCTGTTGGCTCCCCACATTCATGTTCTTGACATATGTAACACACATTCACCCCATACCTTGCCTCAAATGTCTTAAATCAACTACACGTCCAAAGTATCATTTTTGAATCATCTAAATCAAATGTAGAGTCCTGGTATTGTGCATATACCTTTAGGCATATGCTATCCTTGGGCAAAGTTCCTTCTCATTTGTTAGCCTTTGAGATGTAAATGGCAGGCTGTTTTATAAATATAATGGTGAAGCTGTGGCAAGGTAAATATTTCCATTACAAAGGTGAGAAATTGAAGGACAATATGCACCCAGTAAATCCAAAACTCAACAGGAAAATCTACATTAGCTCTCAAGACTTGAAAATAATCCTCTGTTTTCTGAGAAGATTTGGGCAATTCCTGCCCTCCAGATTCTGGGTGTTGGCCACACTTTCTGAATTCTAAGCTGAGTTTTAGTCCTTGATTTCAGATCTGCCTTCCAAGCCCACTGGGACAGCAATTCTGCTCCCTCAACTTTGAGTAGCCCCATTCTCCTACTCCATTTGATTGGCAACACTAACCCCTTTAACCCAGAAGGACCCTTCTTCTGTCTCTTAGGCATAGCAGTCCCACCCCCCTTAGGTTTCAGTGCTGATTTATCCCTCTGGTGAAACCTTAATGGCAGCTCACAGTCTAGAAGCAAGTTGACAAAGATCCAACTCCTAAAAACAGGACACTATGACTCCACTCTTTGGAACTGAGAATGCTTTGTTTCCTGATATTTCAATAAGTCTGCTGATTTCTGGGCAACTCAAAGTATCATTCTTTTCTTTTTGTGGAGTATAATTCCTGATATAATTCCTTTAGTCTGCTTCCCACCTATGCAGTTCCAAGAGGCAGACAATGTCTTCTAGCTTCATTCTCTCTCTGATGAGTTTTCTCCTGTGGTAGTTGTATTCATCAGTGACAAGTTTAATCTGTGTAATAAAAAACACTATATAGTCATATCTTTTGCGAACATTCTAGGACATGTGTCCTTAGATTGTATAACATAATTTTGCAAATCTGTTTCATTTTGCACAGTTCACTTTTAAGTCCATCTCTTCCTGCACACATTTTACAATAGGTGGCAAGTAGAATTCACATGGCCCCTTTAAGATATTTTTTAGAAATCTCACCAGCCAGACATTCAAGTTCATCACCTACAATTTTTACCTTCCACTAAACATTTGAACATAACTCAGACAAATTCTTTGTCACTGCAAAGAAGTGTTACCCTTCCTCCATTATCTAATCACATATTCAATATTTTGTTTTAAGGCCTCTTCAGAAGCACATTTAATGTCCAAATTTCCAGAAACATGCTGCTGTTGCCACCATATATATTCTCCAGGACAATACCTACTGCCATCAAGTCAATTCCAACTCATAATGACCCCATAGTACAGAGTAGAATTGCTCCTTTGGATTTCTAAAACTAATCTTTATGGGAACAGACAACCTTATCAATCTTCCAAGGAAGGACTTCCAAGGTGGAATTGAACCATTGAACTTGCATTTAACAATGCAATGCTG